CTGAAAAATATCTTTGTGTACCTTCCACATCAGTGCCTTCGGAATGAATATTTTCGAAGACAGGGCAGATAACCAAGCAAAGAACTGTCACCTAAGAACTCAAATATGATAATTGATTTAGATGAGCTTCTTTGGCCTAGGTTGTGATTACTGCAAGTAAAACAACAATAAAAATTGTTGAATATAATTGTTATAAGGTCATAAAATAACAAAAACAAATAACTTAAGGACGAGCACACCTAAAAGTTAAACATTCTAATAATAGAAATATTAACAAAAACCAACAAAACCAGGAACCACATGATCAAGTGAATTGCAGCGGAATAGCTGCGCTTGATTGTGTTGGCATAACAAAAATGAAAATAGTGGAAAAAAACAAACGATAATTTACAAGGCGTACTTAGCACGGTGCATAGGCAACTGGCTGAGTCAGTGGGATCGTCGAATCGAATCCTACTGAAATTAAGTCTGATGAGGAAGTGTGGTGATTTCCGAAATAGCTACACTTCAACCATTTTTTTAAATTATTGTTGCTTTTCCACAATATGTTTTCATTAAAAAACGGCCTCAAGCTCAATAAAAATTGTTGAATATAATTGTTATAAGGCCATAAAATAACAAAAACAAATAATTTTTTTTTTAAATGTTCTCATAAAATTCCTAAAACTAGTGTGTAGCTAAAGATGTACAAATGTATGTATAAAAATTTACGAATATGTGTCTATATATGTAGATCCATATTTCAAAACTGAAATCCTGTAATATTTTTCTGTTTCCTGTTACGTTGTAAATGTAAAACTCAACAAAAAATTGAATAAATTAATGACTGATTAAATAAAATGAATGGTTAAAAGTTATTGTTATTGAGAGTACATATGTATGTATGTGTAATTACCCCGTTTACATTACTTTACATGTAGAATAACTTGAATACCAGTAAATGTAAATAGTAGTAAATAATATCTATTCGACACTTAGTACTGAGTAAGTCCTTTGATTCGATCCTGAGTAAATGTGTCATAATGCTTGGTACAGAGTACTTTCCTAGTTCTTTCGAATCCATTTGAGTTCTGAGTACTCTTACATACTTTCGAATTCTTTTGAGTACTTAGTACTTTCGAATTCTTTTAAGTTCTGAGTACTCCAAGGTGTGAGTACTGAGTTCTTTTAAGTTCTGAGTACTTTCGAGTTCTTTTGTGAGTACTGAGCTCTTTTAAGTTCTGAGTACTTTCGAGTTTTTTTGTGAGTACTGAGTTCTTTTAAGTTCTGAGTACTTTCGAGTTCTTTTGTGAGTACTGAGCTCTTTTAAGTTCTGAGTACTTTCGAGTTTTTTTGTGAGTACTGAGTTCTTTTAAGTTCTGAGTACTTTCGAGTTCTTTTGTGAGTACTGAGCTCTTTTAAGTTCTGAGTACTTTCGAGTTTTTTTGTGAGTACTGAGTTCTTTTAAGTTCTGAGTACTTTCGAGTTCTTTTGTGAGTACTGAGTTCTTTTAAGTTCTGAGTACTTTCGAGTTCTTTTGTAAGTACTGAGTACTTTGGAATATCCAGTATCGATACTTTTAAAAATCGGGCACTGTCGATCCTTTTGAGAATCGAGTTCTGAGTACTTTCGGTATCGATACTGCCCAACACTAATATGTATGTATGCAGATATTTAAATGCCGGTTTGCTATTCGCGCGACAAGCTTTTTTAAAAACGAAGTAAATTAGTACAAATTGTTAGTAATTTTCATTAGAGTTTGAATAACTCCTTTCACTAAATGGTTTTTAGTCACTTTAACGAGACCTTAACTTATTTTATTTTATTCATTTTAGTGCAGTTTTGACAAAATTTTCTTGCTAAAAAATCTTGTTACACTACTTCATTTTATTCCTTTGATTGTAGAGGTTAAATAAAAGCTTGTTTTTAAAATATATTTTTTTTACATTATTTTATTAATTGCTCTGCTGCGTCTTATTATAGTGTTTTCTGCTATTGCTCCGGCTACAAATAGTAAATACCAGTTTCGTGGTGCAACGCAACGTAGCACGAAGTAAAACAAGAAATATGCTACTGCGTTTTGTGTGTCTGGCTTTGCTAAATGCAGGGTTAAAGTTGAAGCACTTACTTTGTATACTATTTAAAATTTCATCAGATAATTTGTTCTGCTTTTTACATTAAACACCAGTTAAAATTGAAAAGATTCTTTCTTACTTGGCGCTTGAATTGGTTAACGTGAGAAAAATTTCAAAATTGTCCTTATTAATTTTACTCCACATCACATCTTCAGAACGATTAATTACGAGAGAGTGTCGAATATTCTTGAATTTGTTCAATTGTGTTAAATGAAAATCCCTTTTTTATTTGAAATGTCCCTTTTTCCCTTTTAATAATTTTTGTTCCAAAATATCCCTCAAATAAGGAAACTACCCATAATCTGGCATCACTGATTCAAACCCTGATTTAAAGAACTTAGGACCGTTTTCTCATCTAACCTTTAGATTATCGGCCCTTTTATCGTCTCGATATACGTATTTTCATTTTCTCATCAGCGCATTAATTTCTCGAATCGATAAACTGTTGCTTACCCAACGCAACCTTTAAAAATTTGTACCCAACTTTAAATTTTGGTTTGGTCTTGGCTCATGAGTCAGATATATTAGATATTTCAACTAAGGTTTTGGTTTTTGCTAACAGATGCTCTTGCTCTATTTTTGCTTATGTTACATTGCCAACCTTTGAAATTTTATGACGAATGTAGTGAAGTTTCATTCTAGGAAATGTAGTGAAGTTTCACTTTACAGAATAACAAATTTGTTTTTTACCGGTAAGATAAGAAAACGAAAACTTTTTAAAGCGGGGAACAATAAAGGCAACTATACTGCTTACATTAGAAAACGGCCCTTAGAATTCTTTACTTGTTTTAAGTAAATTTAGCTTCATTCAGTGATCATCTGGTCACACTGCGTGCAAGCACTAACCATACACATCCGGGTGTGACATAGGAAAATGTTGTGGTCGGCTTCCACAACACCGCCTGTGAAAGCATTCAAAGTGAAATTAATGAAAGCGCATCTAAGCTGTGGATGTCGGCACAAGGTTAGAGGCCACGAAATCAAAAAGCAAAAAACAAGAAGGTAGTACGAGACTTTTTTTTGCCTCAAGCATTGATTTCCGATTGTTTCAGGACTTACTATATAATATAAGTAAGTAATGTAAATATGTACATACGTACACCCATACTCGTATGGATTAAAGTTCCACACTACGGAGTACAGGCTTTCGATGCTTTCTCCTTATATAAAAAAAACATACATAGTCCTACAAATGTATGTATATTTTTCTTAACCACAGTAGCTATGCATTTCAATCTTACTTTTTCCTCATTTTTTCAAGCAGCGGAGTTTTCGATCACAGCTTTCCTAAACCTGATGACGAAGTGAAAATGAGTGTGGGTGGCGAGGTCGAGTGCGTGGTGGTCGTTCCGGAGGGTTGCCGTGTTGAGTGCTGTTGATAGAACTGCTTTGTTAAACTGATTGCCTTCATTTTGTGACACAATTTGGAATTCTTCATCTTCTACACACGATTTATTTCGGGGAAAGCGTAGCTCGAAACGCGAAAAATGAACCGAATAAAATGCAAAACCGTACAAGATAATATGCTATTCTACAAATAGGAATTTTGGTCTTCGATTAGTTAGCTGGTTGATTAGTTGGCTCGTTGCACGCACAATATAATTATGCGAGTATGAACATATGTATGTAAATGCATATCTAAGTACATATATATGTATATAGTAGCTGTGGCAGTAGCACACTCAAGGGGGAGTACATTTTTTAACATTTACAAATTTGGTATTTTTTATGGTTTCAATTTAGCTTTTGCTTTTAATTTTATTCTTACTAATTTTTCACAGTCAAATCAGTTCACTTACTGCCTTTACTTCGTTGCCTTTCACACTTTACTGGTATTCTTTATTTCCTTTTGAGCTTTTGCGACTTCGCTAATACTGTGTCGCTGCACTCTTTCTTTTTATTTGCTACCTCGCTCACTTCACTGTCTTTCTTCGGTACACTTTACACTTTCCGCTTTAAATCGTACACATACGACTGACTATACGCTTTTACACTTCCACTCTGCCACCACGCTACATTGTCTAAAAGTATGCTTCTACACTAAATGAAAACGCTCCAATGGTACAAAGAACGCCACGGATACGTTTACGCTTCGCACGCCCGCCGCCCTGTTAACGTATGTGTGTCGTTCACGTCGAACTCGCATTCGCTTATTCACGAACTACGACCAAAGCAGCAGGCGCACTTATCGCCATAAAAATGAAAATTTTCATCATTACAAATTTTAATGAAGTAATTTCATTTCTTTCTCTCCAAATTTAGTGAATTCATAACTGTATGGACATTATGCAAACATAACCACTTGCAATTTTAGTTTTTTTTTCATATAAATACGCACACGGTGTACCTAGTAGTTTTTTTGAAACCACATTTCCATACATACATATTTATACATAGGTATATGTACATATATATATGAATGTATTCTAGGCCAATTGAATAGTTGATTAAATTGAATTAAAAGTTTTTTATAGTTTTTTTTCGCATACATATGTATACATGTACTATACAGAAGTATATCCAAATTTCGGTAACTTATTATGTAGTCGACAAAAATTTTCTGCCTTCTTTAGGACAGACACTCGCAGGCAGATGCGAAGAGCTTTACTGTGTTTTCACCTCTTCGCTTCGTGGTATAGTGCAGCACCGATGGATATCTTTCGAAGAACTGGTTATAAGTAGGAAGTACTCGCTACAAATAAGTTCCATACACTCATAAGATATATTTCTCGCTATGTTCCAAGGCACTATGTTTCAACTATTTGGACGATGAGCAAATGAAGAGTGTTTGAATACACCACGAACTAGGAATCGCTGAGGAACTCACCAAAATGAATTTAACATGCGCAAGGAAGGATATCAACACATACAAATCTGCATATGCATATGCATTGACAGTCAGCAGAATAGGTGCAACATGATTTTCAACTTTAACTGTTTGGTGCATGTACTAGATTATCCACAAGATTTTTCTGTAAATAGAGTATTAAAGCCAGTTGAGTTCGTAAACAAACAATAAAACCACATTGGCCACTGGTTAGTAATTTAAAGTAAAAATTTCAATTTTATAACAAGAGGGCTGAAGCAAAAAATCATGACAAGTAATTTTTAAGCAAAAAGCAAAACTGACTATATATATGAGAATATATAAAAATATAAGATTATCGTTAATTTCAGCATCATCCAATGCTCGGATTTAAACCAAATTAGTATGGGACCACGTGCGATGTAACACCTTATGGAAATCGGTTAACGGGGTCCAAAGTTATGCGGTAACATACATAACAAAAAATATATATATATTTGTTGTTGTTGTTGTGAAGTCGGTTAATAAGTAGAGTGCAAAAATCTAAACCTTATAAGCAATTTAAAGGCAGATGAAAAACAAAGTAATAGAAGGGTGCATCTATACAGCCTTATCAGCTGGTGTTACCCAGCAAAAAACACGATTGCCACAGAAGCGAAAATGGAAACGAGCTAGGCGATGGGAATCGCTTACCCTTTCGCTTCAAGAAGGCACTATTTTAACATGGCACATTAGGTCAAATGATTACTTTTTCTGTGCGAAATTAATAGCAGCTAAAATATTGCATTATTTTAATGTAAAAAGATGGCAAACGTTAAAACAAGTGTAAAGGCAGTAAATCAAATGTTAAACAAACTTGGCTTTCGTAAAACAGACTTTTCTGCTTTTTTGTATGTTCAAATGATGAGTATATGTGTTTAGGTAGTACTCAAAAACATTGTCCAATTAGCTTGGTTTTGACACAAGTTATTTTCTTACCATACTCAACCCCCTCCCCTTTAAAATGAGCTACATAATAAAATAAGTATGGTCACATGTACATAAATGGTTTCTTCTAGCGATTAGTTATGGCATTATCGAAATTCCTAAATTAAAAAAAGAAAAATATTTACTACATGTCTCGCAGATATATCTTGAGGAGCGATTCCTAAAGCAGTTAGTCTTCATAAAACACTTCGTTTTCACTTGAGGTTTCAGTATTTCCAAATTCTCCACCGATATTATTTATATTCAGAATACAAATGCACATTTACCAAAAATTGCTGGTAACTTCCTGAAAAGAATACGAATGTTTATGAAACTAATTTGTTAAAAGAATGTTCAAAGCTCTATTCACTTTGAGTAAAAAAAAATCGAGATTTCAGTCCGTAAGTTCTCTCAAGGTTTTGCCTTTTTGCGAAGGCGCTAGTGTATTTGTAACATAGCCTCGGCTACGATACAGGAGATGAAATGTAATCCAAATTGAGGCTGCTATTTTTGTTTGCTATCACATACTTCCATTTTTACTATTTATCACCATTAAAATGGATTATTTATCACCAAAAAATGTTGGAGATATTTTTGGAGATAGCTAAAAATTCGGAAAAAGGTTAGCTATCCTATTTTAGCACTTTAGTGATAGCGAAAGTTAGAATCCGGCTGATGGTCGACACAGTTGGCTTTTCGATTTCGAAAAGAACCTCATCAGCAAGAAACGCTATGTTTTTAGATCTAAATATTTTAGCATCCTTTCCAAATTGTTTCCCATAATTTTCATATTTATTTGATAAATAATTGTAAAAAATACGCGTTTTTTTTTCTAAGAGTTTCATGGAACTTTCGCAAATATCAGCAGCGCCAAATTTTTTTTCAACATGGTTGACAACCGAAAAAGGCTTTTCTTTTTCCAATCAGCCAAACTTCAAACAACTTGCCTTTTGTGATAGCATGATAGAAAAACCGTTTTTCTTGAAAACGGCAAGTTAAGTAAAACAAATTCAACTCATTATATCTTAGTTTATGCATTTCCGATTCCATTTTGTTTGCCGAAAGTTAACACAATTGTAAAAGCTTACATAAAATCATAAATGGAAATAAATCAGAAAATTTTTGAGGTTATGCAAATAAGTCAGTTTATTTGCAAACAAATGATAAAAAGTAACTTTTTTAAATTGGGACATAGGTTCTCACTTAGATACAGTTTTGTTTCCCATTTAAAATTATCCTTTATTTATTCGAACTTTGCAAAAACAATGCACTTGAAATTTACAAAATAAACCGGTTGCGCAAACAACGTATCAGTAACGTTTTGAAAGTGTAATTTGGTTTATTGCTGTATAACGGTGTTTTTTATTTTACAAAAACTAAGTGAAGTTTCTGTTATTTTGGAGTATTCCCTACAGAATGGCAACAAAAAATAATGTAAAACTGCCTTTACGAAATCGGAATTTCGCACAGCCAAATGTATCATTTGACCTAATGTGCATGGGCGGTAAGCCCTTACCCGCAGCATTACCTTCAAACGAAGGGAGAACGCATGGATAAACAGAATCCAGAGAAGCGAACAAAGAATGCCTTACAGAGAAACTAATGTAGAATGCCTAGATAAGTACATGCTTATTTATATTAAATTGAAATCAGAAAATCTCTTAAAAGACTAAAATTAATTAAAATTTTTATAAATCAGTTTTTATACATACATATGTATGTATTTGGTATTTTGATTTTATTTAAAAATCGGTATTTACATACATGCATATTTAATTAAGTTTAAAATTGTACTTCCTCACTCTTGTACTTCACTTCATTGACTGACTTCAACTTAACTGCAAATTGAACAAAGCAAAACATGATTTTTATGCGAGACAAGTTTCCACAGAAACTAACGGTAGAAAAAGGATTTTTGGATATGCATTCTATTTTTCAGCTGACTACGATGCAGCATTCTACTACTTTGCATTCTCCGAAATGAAGCAAAGAATCGAAAAAAAAAATATTGTAGGACATTCTACTTTTCATTCCCTGAAATGAAGCAAAGTAGCGAAACAAATAAAATATTGTAGGACATTCTACTTTGCCTTCCCCGAAATGAAGCAAAGAAGCGAATTAAAAAATAAATATTATAGGACATTCTACTTTGCATTCCCCGAAATGAAACAAAGAAGCGAAATAAATAAAATATTGGAGGACATTCTACTTTGCATTACCGGCAATGCCTAAAAGAAGCGAAAAAATTCGAAGGCTTTATAACGCTATGCCTTCTAGAATACGTTACCACTAAAAGCGATAACCGATTTTTTGTTGGGTAGGATCAGCGTTGCCGTTTTGGTCCAATTGGACCAAAATTGATAGCTTCATTCTCCGTTGATAGATTGGTTGGTTTGATGAAGCTTTTGGTAGGCAAAAATGTTTTGAAAATATAACCAAATTGAACATTAAAATTTGTTCGCTTAATTTAAGTTTACATGTATAAGATTTCTTTATTTTTTGTATATTTTATTAAGCAGATAATTTTCTGCAAAGCTGTTGAAATTAACGAGAAATTACCTATCGCCTTGAAAGAAAAATTGGTGATAGGCAATTTGCAAAGTGTGAATGTATTGGTAGAAAAGGGTGAGTGCACGCAAATTGAATCAAATTTGGAAATTTTCTTATTGTAATGCATAAAATGTCTGGTTTTGTTTTTTTACACACAAAGAAAAATTGTTTGATATGAATTGAATCAATCTCAAAGATATTAACATATTTTACAATAACCTAATTATTTTATTTAAAGGCCCGAATTTATTTTGTTTAATCTTAAAGATTGGTGTGAATAATTAAATTAACCAATGCCGTAAACAATATTGTGGATAGTTTTAATTTTTACTGCTAATTTGTGTAGCTAAAAACCCCGCAAACTCGAGAAATCTCATTTTAATGATGAAAAAATTTTGGTAGTTTGGAAACTGATTTTGTAGGCGTTTTGATACCTAAAAATATTTTCAAGTGACAACGCTGGTTAGGAGGAAAATACTGAAGTCAGTTTCACTTTTGATTGAACCAGTGCATAGAATACAAGACCAATAGAATACAACAGGCCTTCCCAAAGTGGGTGCCGCTATTGGCTAGAGTATACTAGTGGTGCGGGCAAATTCGTGCGGGTAGGATTTGCATTTGTTTTTTTACTTTAAGGCGGCTAGACACTAATTTTAAACAATTTTTATTAATTTCATGCAGTTCTAACGTCGT